GATATATATAACGATATATATAACGATATATATAACGATATATAACTAGATATATGTGTGTGTTTGTGTTTGTGTGTGTGTGTGTGTGTGTACCAGCATAATTCTGGAGCACCTTGAACAATTTCATCCAAACTTGGTACATAGATGACTTATTCTATGGAAACAAATACAGTGGATGTAAGACACCCCTAACACCCCTTGGTGTGTGTGTTTTGTTACGATACAGCCTGCTGCACCTTCAAATGGCTTCTATTATACTGCCATAAAATGGCTTCTACTGTACAACGCAATGGAGTTGCCATGGTAATGGCTGCACAGTACCCCACAAGGGGAAAAATCCAACATTAGAAATTACGTTTGGTCTGGACATTTTCCTGCTATAGATAAATATCCGGACAACACTGGGTTATCAGCTAGTTAAGTATAAAGATGACAAAACGAATGACAACAGGTAAAACAAACAGTGAAGATTTTGGAGTAGTAGATAGCTTCTGCTTTTTAAGATCAACAATTAAAGTACAGTGTTCACTGAAATGCTTGTACTTCAACATAACCTTCCTTTGGACAATAAGAGCTCTGACAGGCTAGTTTTGGGATTAACTGTTTCCAGTCCAAACTGCAAAGGAGGGCAGTCTGATAGATAGCATTTTTCCAATACTTGGGATGTCCCACAGAAAAAGATCAAGAACTGCTTTCTCTTGTTCTAGAGTACAAGACATGGAATTTAAAATATAGAAAAGTGGATCCTGATTATTAGGGGAAAATCCTGGAATCAATAGTCCTGTGAGACTGTGGTTTGTTTCACTTAATGTGTAACAGGAGAGGTTAGATATACATCTGCCTGTGGTGCTTTCAGCTGAATTCTCAAACTGAGGAGAGATTTGGACTTGATGGTCCCTTCCAACTCTATGACTCAATGACTCTAATCATCACTTGCTGTATTGAGCTACAAGTGGTTAACCTAATTTGGGTTGGCATTACGATTAAAATGATTGAGCTACAAATCAGAAAGTCTCCAAGTATGAATTGTATCACAAACTCTTTATACCCTGAAGCTTCTGTCCCTTCCTATCTCTAACAGGGTGATATTAAGACTAGCTTGCAAGTTTATTTTAGGGACCGCAATTAGGGAAGATATGTGTTGTACCCTAATAGCTGAAAAATTATTATGTCCATAGAAAATGCTGCTGCCTTCTGTCAGAAGAGATTTAAGAATTACAAAAACCTGGATCTTATTGGATATAAACAAAAATACACATTTGGTGGATTACTTCCCAACATTATCTCATCAAGAGAACTGCATTTGCTCATTCTGTTTACTGTAGGAATTGCCAAAAAAGCTGGGTTTATTTTCATATCTGCTCCATATAATAGCTTACTTTTTTCAGAAATAAACTGAGTTTTCTTACAAATGTTCTTGCAAAAAAGTTCATCTCTTGCAAATATATAACAAACAAAATAGAACTGTGATATACAGGTCCCACAAATGAATAAATGTATTGTTTCTTTCATTTTACTTTATTTTATTTTAAAAGTTTACATGACTCACTCTCAGTGACTTCAGGCGGCTTACAAAAATAACAATGTCATATGAAATAAAAATAAAAAGTGGTAACTACTGCCCCTCACCCTAACAACCGTCAATCAAATAAGCCACTTAATGGGCTCCATCCCACTCTGTGTTCCTTGACCCGCTGGCAAAACTAGGTCTTTGGGGCCTTGTGAAAGTGTATGAAAGTGAGAGCCAATCTTATCTCCATAGGGATGATCCATGGATCACAGGGAGGGAGCTACCATAGGGAAGGCTCTTCTTAGTCCCACTGGAAGTACCTCTTTAAGGGAGGGGAACCACAGTATCCCCCCCCCACACACACACACTCTTGTAGATGTGACCAGGAGATGATGATCCTTCAAATAACCAACAAATAATTTTTCAAATATATAAACTTCATTGTGTGATCTGCTGTTTAAGCAAATCTAAGGGCAAATACAGATTGGGTATTTACAGTTATAGCAGAAAAAAATATGTTACAGCATGTACACTGACTTAAGTTTTTGGCTCCAAAATGTAGCAAATATTATTTATTCCTATCACCACCAAAGAACCTCTGAATCTGTTTGTGGTCAGTCACTACGGTGCCACATTATGCAGGGCTCAATTTGTTTCACATTCAGCATGTGAAGCATGTCAATAGAATGTAATTTTAGGCATGCTATTTATTACTAGAGCCAGCCAATTCAAAACCACACCACACTATTTCACCAATGAGCAAAGCAAACTAACTGAAAGCCAAGAATTACTCATTGCAATTTAATTGCATTAAATAAAAAGATGCTGAGTTTATGATCCATTCAACATTTTTATAGTGGTGCCTAAAATCTATTTTTCCTCATATCAAATTTTTAACCCAGTATAAAATGTAGGAGTTGCTCAAAGCTTATTAAGAAAAAAATCTCTCTCTACCTTTTGGGAGGCTCTTCCTTTTTTGTTGGAACTTTGGAATTAAACAAATAAAGAACATATTTATATTTTGGGGGTTTTAATGCACATACAATTATTTTCAACCTTGGCTAAAAAGAGACATCTCTAAATAGCACTTTGCTTTATTTTTATCCTAGGTAAAACAAGACCTATCCAACTGTACTTTAGAACTATAGTTTTCCAGAATGATTGGCAGCAGAAGAAAATGAGTCAGTTGAGAGGCATTTTGAATATGTATTTTAAAGGTCAGAATTAGAAAGGAGGAAACAATGTTATTTTTTTTAAACATTAAGAGTACGGGTATTCCTCATTTAACAACAGCCTTGGGGGGTGACTGCTTGCAACCATGACAGTGATGAAAAAGTAATTTTGCATTCAATTCTTGCATTTATGACCTTCACAGGTTTGTAAAGCAAAGGAAAGCTGAGGTAAGATCAAAAGTATTGTCATAGTTTCACTTAGCAACCACTTTGCTTAAAGACTGAATTGTCGGTCCCAATTGGGGTTGCTAAGGGAGGACTACCTCTGTATATATTTTACTCTAATGCATTATTGGGAAAGAATAAAAATAAAGGATTGCTTATATAAATAGGGTTTAACATTTATTTATTTAAATATATATAATTATGAAGTTTATACTTTTTTAAAATTACTGAACTTTGACCTCTGAAGTAATCAACATTTAAGTTTTGAATGGCCTAAACATTTAACAAATTAATGGCTGTTAAAGCCATAACGCAAGTGCTTAATTAGCTAACAATGACAGTATGGCACCCTACAGTTCCTGGCCCTGTATAACCTAATTTCAATGTAGTTTGCCCCTGTTAACCTCACCATTTCTTGTGCTTTGCAATCACCTGCTGAATCATCTGAGAAAGAGCTAGAACTGAATAACTGGAAATGTTGGCCTGCTGGCCATATTTGGCCAGAAAATATTTCTCCTTCGGCCCAGTCTCTCCTTTCATGCTTAGCCCCTCTTCCGCTTTGGGCCCTGGAACAAATCTGAGCAATCTCTCTGACCCTGCTTTCCAAGAACAGCTTGTTGCTTCTGAGAAAATCTTTCTTTAATAGAAGAATGTGCATGCATGTGCGAGCATGCATGTGCGCATGTGGTTGTGTACCATCCTGAGAGATTGCCTGGGACAAGATGTTTAGAAGCAGAAGTGGCTACAATTTCCTTTTCCTATTCCCTGCCATTCCAATTGTTTACTGAATATGGGAGGCAAACAATCATTCTGGAGTGCGGTGGAGTAGTTCGTGAGTCTCCCTTTTGCTTACAGGACTGGAAAATACCTCTCTTCCTTTTCTATCTGCCCTTTCTTTGCCCCTCGTTCTCCTTGACAAGGGAAGCAAAATTCTAACCCAGAGATAGAGAATTTTATTCTTATGCCTACAAAAGATTCTTCTCTGGTTGGACTAATCTCAAAAGGAAAAGATAAAAAATAAAAATACAGGCAGCCCTCGACTTACAACAGTTTCATTTAGTTGTAACAGTTCAAAGTTACGACGGGACTGGAAAAAAGTGACGTATGACCGCTTTTCATACTTATGACCGTTGCAGCATCCCCATGGTCACATGATCAAAATTCGGATGCTTGGCAACTGTACTCCTATTTATGATGCTTGCTGTGGCCAAAGGTCAAGTGATCACCTTTCGTGACTTTCTCACAAGCAAAGTCAATGGAGAAGCCAGATTCACTTAATAACTGTGTTACTGACTTAACACCTGCAGTGATTCACTTAATGACTGTGCCATGAAAGGTCGTAAAATGGGGCAAAATTCACTTAACTTCTCAATTAACAATATAAATTTTGAGCTCAATTGTGGTCATAAGTCGAGGACCACCTGTAAGACCGAGGGATATTTGCTTCATGTTTCTGTGCAACTAAATTGTTTCTTTCAAGCTCTCTGAAAGCAGTATTTTTCTTTCTTTCTTGATTTTCAGGCTCTGGAGTTACACTGACAGATATTTTGAGGAGGGGGACTTATTCTTCTGTAGGACTGAATCAGATAGTTGGAAGGGGCTAGTTAGCTCAATCACCATTCTCCATTTAGTACAGTAATCCAAATTAAACCAGATAGACAGAGGGCTGTGCCTGAACAGGTGCAATGAGTGGGTGGAGTTTACCACCTTCTTTGATCCACTGCCAAAATGCTATTCTTATCTTTGAGAAGGCTTGGATTTAGATGACATATGATTTAAGAGTAGAGCTACTACATTTTGGATCATTGAGGTATTAGTGGGGGGGGGGGGTTGGAAAGGGGGAGATAACTTAGAGAGTGAGTGGTGTAAGGCACCAGGCTAGAAACTGGAAGACCCCAAGTTGTAGTATTGCCTTAGGCAGGAAACCAGCTGGGTGACCCTGGGCCAGTCACTCACTTTCCCATCCTAGGAAGGAGGCAATGGCAAACCTCTCCCCCTCCCCTGGAAAAAAATCTTGCCAAATAATTGCAGGGATTAGTTGCAGGCAATCACCCAGAGTCAATTTGAAAGCAACCCTCCCCAAAAATATTATTTCAGGAGAATACGGGTTGTAGAGCATGAAAGGCTGAAGATGGCAAAAAGAAAAGGAAAGAGAATGATTTCATTGATTGCTCTGTATTCTTCTGACTTTACCACTGAAGAAAAAGTATAGAAAAAAAGATGCCTAGTTCTGAATTAACATTCAGTTTTGATTTCATTTTACATATGAATTAAGAAACAGCTTCCCACAAATAAGAAATATTAATCACAGAAATTTTAAATATCAATTTCTACAATTTATTCCATCTTCAATAACAGATAATTTCTGGGTGTTGTTATATTACATTATTTCTTAGAGTAATCAATACTTGTGACAGCCAGAAATGAGTGGAAAAATGGTAGCAGGAAAGCAGGACAATGGGCACCCTAAAACCTAAGAGAATTAGAGATGAGAATGAACAAAAGTTGCAAAATATAAGCAGTAAGAACAAATTTGAAAAGCAGAGAGTTCAATATTAACTCTCCCCTGGAATCATTTTTCACTGAAAGCTTTGGAATGTTTACTGCATCATGTTTTTAGGCAGGTCATATGTTTAATTTTTTCTGTAATGATGTGATTTCTATTAACAGTTTAATGAGTGTGAAGCTGCTATTAGAATTTTTCAGTACAGAGACCAGGGCCATGCTTACATTGCACTACTCACATCAAGACAAAACACCCTACGCTTTTGCTACTGCTGACGTGTTACACAAACTTAAGAGCTGAAGTGGCGCAGTGGTTAGGGTGCAGTACTGCAGGCCACTTCAGCTGACTGTTATCTGCAGTTTAGCGGTTGTAATCTCACCGGCTCAAGGTTGACTCAGCCTTCCATCCTTCCGAGGTGGGTGAAATGAGGACCCAGACTGTGGGGGCGATATGCTGACTCTGTAAATCGCTTAGAGAGGGCTGAATGCCCTATGAAGTGGTATATAAGTCTAACTGCTATTGCTATTACTAAACTTTCTGAGAAACTAAGATTTTCTGTAGGCTTTGTGTAGGTGTACCAAAAATAATGTTGTCATGGATGAAGGAAAGAAATAAGCACAGGAAAGAATTTTAGTTAAAAAATGTGTCCCCCACCCCACCCCAGCTTTCTTTTGAATACATCACTACTGTCACTAGACCAGAATCAAATATTGTACTGGTTGAAAAGCCATAACTGCAGCAAAAGCAAACAACCTGGCCTTAACTGCTGATTCTGCAATACTAGCTATGAATGCACTAACAAGGAACTCAGGTTCACATGATCTACTTCTCTGCTGCCAATGTAAACAACCAACTCTGTTACTAGCTTCACTCTCCAGCTTGATGGTACCTTCTATTCAAAAATTGTGTACTGCATTAGATCATAATTTTTCTCATGAGACTGAAGATGTTTTTCTTTAGATATACATGTCAGAAGATGCAATCCTCACTTTTTTAACTTAAAGAGTGTTTTCAAATGAATTTTTGGCTGGAGTTATCACCTAAACCTTATGCTTTAATGGTAGAAAATCAGATTCCCTCCTAGATTAGAATTTCCATGAGTCACAGCAAGCATGGCAAGTGACCAGTTATTGAGAAGAGTTGCAGTTCAAAATGTTTCGAGGGTGCTGTTGCTTATCTATGTTAAACATAGATCCAAAGTTTGTGGCAAAGTAACTGAACTATATGATTTATAAAACAATAATTATTCCACTACAAGCAGTCCTTGACTTAACACAGTTCATTTAGTGACCGTTCCAAGTTATTGAACTGAAAAGTAATTTATGACCGTTTTTTACACATCTGACCCCTGCAGCATCTCCATGGTCATACGATCAAAATTCAGATGCTCGGCAACTGACTCATACTTATGCAGTGTCCTGGGATCATGTAATCCTCTTTATAACCTTCTGACAAGTAAAGTCAACGAGGAAGCCAGATTCACTTAACAGCTGTGTTAGTAACTTAAAAACTATAGTGAATTTGCTCAGCACTTGTGGCAAAAAAAGCTCATAAAATGGGGCAAAACTCACTTAACAAATGTCTCACTTAGCAACAGAAATTTTGGGCTCAACTGTGGTTGTAAGTCAAGGACTACTTGTACATTGGTCAGTCTTGTCTCAATTTATAAGCAACTATGCATTTATTTACTAACAAAATTGCTTTTATATTGCTCTCTGCATTGTAATTTAATAAAGAATTTTATTCCTCTGACCACAGCTCAGTCAGTAAGTGTGCCAAATAATTGAGGAAACAGTAATACTTTACTTACGGATGTGGTTTCATTTCTATATAATTTTTGGGAATGAAGCCATCTTTGCCATTGAGTTCTGCCTTGTACCAATTTTGATCACATTCTTCATTCAAAACCTGGAAAAAAAGGGAAAGGAAGATAGGTTCTATTTCTGGATAATATGGTAACAAACAATATATCATTTCAGGTTTATTTTGCTAACAGCCAGCTAGTTTCAAAGAAAATCTAATTATTGAAATGGGCAGAAGTAAAGGAGAAGTAAAGGAGAAAAAATAACTTTCTAAGATTGTATTTATGGGAGAAATAAGTACATTCCAAACAAGTATACCCCAATTTGCCAGTTCCATATTTAGTCTTTCAGCCTCACCATTTAGGAGTTTGGTTAAAGTAAATCAAATGTTTAAATGTCAAACTTTTTTCTTTCAAGCCTAGTGTCTTCCCTCTCCCCTTGCCTAAAACATTCAGAGTATTTTCAAATGACAAAGCAATTCACTTATTTTTACTACATGGCCCAAAGGGATATTGCAAATGCATATCTTGCTAATTGAAAAGAGTAAGAATTCCACCCACAAATATTGTCCTTATCCCCCACCATGGGATTTTTTTCAACCAGTCCATAAAAAGTCTACATCAAACCGTAACACCTTTTAACAGTTTCTATTAAACATTGAGAAGAAAAAAATGTTAATTTATACAGAAGTCAAAATTATGTAAATATAAAAATCATTATACAAGTAAAATAGAGATTGTGTTTTGTACTTTACTTTTATTCTAGCACATACAATAATTCAAAGATACTCTCAAATGTAGGTTTGAAAACCAGGATAATGTCAGAGGCAAATAATCAGGACAGCGTAGAACAGAACATTTATACAAGCTTGTACACAAGAATCTGCTCAACTAAAGTTCAACACTAAATTGATTGCTTAATAAGGATCAAAAGAACTCAGGAGGGGTTTGACCTGGAGCACTTGTAGGAATGCAAAAACTCTAACCTGATGACATGCTTAACTCACCCAGCTCTGCCTGCTCTTCTTCTATGGAAGTGGCTCCCAGCCTTTTTGGGCATTAGGGACCAATTATGTGGAGAAAGGTTTTTTCATGGACCGGAGGGGGCGTGGTTTTGTCTGCTGCCTGCACCCTGCGAATGGGGCTTAGCTTGTTTGTGCGATCTGGTTTCTGGCATCCCATGGACCGGTGCTGGTCCATGGACCGAGGGTTGGGGATCCCATTCTACAGTAATGTTTGTAATGCTTATATGTGTACTAAGTCCCAAAGATAGTGGGTCTTTCTATATTATTAAAATCTCTTACTAAATACAGAATATAAGTTTATGGAGAGTTGATACTTGACTGAAAATTTAACATGAGTTCTTTGTAGAACAAAGTTTTATAATATATTGAGGGAAAATGAGAAACTGTAAACAATGAAGATAAATGCTCTAAACATGTCATAGGTCAGAACTCTTATCTCTATCTCTACTTATAAAATGTGCCAAAAATAACTGTCTATAGTTACTTATTAATACTTTCAATTTCCTATTAACTTTTACATAGTATAGACATGCCCCATACAACAAGTATCCTAAAACTAGAATACTAGAAAGTAAACCTGTCCTTTTTAAAAAGTGCACAGCTGCAGGATCTCAAGAATGCTTTGTGTGTCATATATGCAAGATGGTGTATGGCTATCACTGAAAGTCAGCAATACATCTTCTAATGGAGCAAAACTCACTAATTAAATCTAACCAAATTATTGGGGAAGTGAAGCAATTTCTTTTATGTTGGAAGATCTCCAATTAGGCTAGTTTCAGCAGTTACATTTGAGTTATGTGTACAGCAATGATGAAATTGCTTAGGACTCTAAGGCAATCTTAAAATTAATACCCTAAGAAATTTGGATGTTCTGATAAGTATGATACATATGTGTGCAATCAATGATTCTTGTTTTTACTTTTAAAAGCAACAACTTTTGGTCACTGCTTTTGGACCAGTTCTTTATCACTGAGCAAGAATCCTGGTAGAAATCCCTTAAACTTTTCGTTATTTCATGGAGAAAATAAGATGATGTCACCTAATTGGGTAATGAAACGTTTGCAAGAAAACAACCAACCTCAGAGAGCACCAAGGACTCCACAGTTCAACCCTGAGCTACAAATATTCTGCTCTATTGAACCACAGTGTTTGGTTTGCATTTCTTATTTTGGCACAAAACATTCAATGAACATAAGAGTATAAGAAGACTCCTCACTGTTCACATGTTCAAAGACTTATTTTACATTATAAGATTATAATTGTACTGTTTCAATTATTACTTCATTCTGTGTCTGCATTATAGAAGACTGTAAAACTGTAAATAAAAACCACCCTACTCTCTGCAGGCCTCTGCAAGTATATTTATATTAAGTTGTAGCATTAATCCTCTTAGGTCTAATAACTCACTCATTTTAATTTTAATATAGTCCTTCATGTATAATCGTTTCCAATATGCTATATCTCTGAATTAAAGCAAACATGGGGAATTTCACATAGAGGTCTATGATAGACATATTGATACAGTGTTATCACTTCTGATGATTAGGAACTTCGTCAGTGGCAGTTTTGTCAATTCCCAGTTTTGTAATCTTGAACTTAGCAATTATCCACTTCTTATTATTTTGACTTGTAAGAATGAAGTCTACAAACCCCACCTCTCATTATCTGCTATATGATCCAATGTGAAATTACATCAGATTTATATAACACATTCTACTTCTCCACAAAAGTTCCTTACTTGATCCCTCCCTCTCTTACAGACACACAGGGAGGAGGGAGGGAGGGGGAGAGAGAGATTTCTATAAATATGCTCTTGAATCATGTGGATGGAAGACTGTTAGCTATATATGATCCTAGACAATGTCTTCCCAGAACTAATTATCCAATGACTCTGAATTTCAGAAATTTCCAAGATCTAAGAATGGCAGATACAATTCATATTGGAAGATGTTACTGAGTAAGAGGATGAGATATGGAATTTGGTCCACATATTTATATACTGAGAAAATGCCAGCATTCACTGCTCAATCACTTTCATTCTGTATTTATAGTAGTCACTTAAAATATCTTTATTCCTTTCATTGTTTCTGGAAAATGTTCCTTTTCCTGACAAAGAAAACTGAAGAGTATCTCAAATAAGCAAGCCACTGTACAGTGAAGACCAAGAATTCTTCCCCCAAAACACAAGAAAAATTTAATGGAGCATCTTCCCTAATTTGTATGCCCTCCAGATTTCAAAAGATTACACTTTGGCTTTCTCTCACAGTTGGATATTCTGAGGTAGTTTGGATACGTATATGTTAACAAAACATTATACATTTCCTTCCAAAATTCCCCAGCCTACATTTTATTCTGGGAGTGGTCAGGCAAACTTTTAGAACGTAATCCTTCAAATCAAACTGGTTCATTGTGCTCTGAATCTGGGATAATGCTGGAACAGAATTTTGTCTGAAGTAATAGAAAATGCTTCCAATTCAGAAGATTTTCAAATAATTGAGGACGATCCTTAGAATATTCAGATCTGTGTGATTGGGGCAGAAAAGGAGTAATTGGAGCAAGATTCCATTTCTGAACACAATAGGTTTTGTATAACTGTTATTTGCTTCTGTACATTATTCTTCCATGCTGTGGTCTTCTAGCTAAAAATGGAGGAGAATGGTAAAATAAAAAGGAATCGTTGCATGCTTAGATTAAGATCTTCAAAAAAAAAAAGCTTCATGATCTTTGCAAGGTAGGATCAGCCAGGAAAGGCAATGGAACTCCTCATCTGGTGAAACCAAGACACCAGGAGACTATGCTTTCCTGAAGCTGGAAATGGTGCATTACACTTCCCTGAGGAAAACCTAGGCCTTTTATACAAAATAACAAAAGTTTAACACAAGCAATGCTATAAGAGATTCAGCTACAACAAAAAATATATCAAATTTAGACAATAAAACAAAGTTGATATACCTCCTATGTCAAATTGCAACATGCTTTGGACTAAATACTACCTTATGGAAAATGAATGCAGAGTTGAGGTTTGGAATGACTTCAAATACAGCTTCCTTTTTTTCATGGGCAGAACATTTCGATTCCTACATTTTATTCATCAAAGATTTTTTGGAAGCATATTTCCTGACTGTCGAGGATAGCTGAGGTCCATGTCCATTGAAATTCAACTTGTTGACCTGAGCACACAGACCAGTTGTAAATCTGAGAGTTCAGGGTTCAAGGGAACATTATTTATCTGTCACTTTTATATGCCACTTCAGGGTGGAATACATGGAGAGGCAGGGAAGGGACATCTGAGGATCTCATCAATATATCTGTATAATTTTCTTTCAAACAAGATGCAAGCACTTCATCACTACTCTCTTCTATATGTTCATTGTTGTGTTTCTTTCAATTTCTATGATATGTGCTTTGTATTCTTTGGTGGTCATCCCTTCTGAACCTGCTTAGCTTTTCAAGATCAGCCAAGATGGCCATGAGTGCCATCTAGCTGGGCAACATATCTTCCAATTTTGTCCTTGCAACCATTTGTTGCAGAGAACCCTGAGACATCAAGACATTTCCTGGTTGAATGGGATCCTGAACCTGGCTCATCCTGTCTCGCATTACAGCAGGCATGTGTGTGTATGCACATGTGTGTATACACACATGCTCATACTAAACTAATACTTGAATTTCTTTATGAGGCATGATTAACAATGAGGAAATATTTTTACTCTAGAGCAGGCCACGGCCACCCTAGCTACGCAAAGGCAAAAAACATTGTGATACATCATGATCCGGCCCACGACACGATCGAGTTTGACACCCCTATTCTAGAGGGTTAAGAGACCCTCTCACTTCTCATTAGCACCCTAAGTGGAAATATCACCAATGCTGATAATAAAACAACTTAAAAGCTTCCAGGAAGCAATTCCTTTCTATAGTAGCAGTACTTAACATGACAGCTGAATTATGAGTTGTATTTATATCGGTAGTATCATTATTTCACAACAGTTCAAAGCAAGCCTAGAGACAAAATCATTTAGCAACCTTATACCATCTCTTATTGATGTACAGATCTTTAAAACAAGATGAAAGGCAGTTTGTCGCAAACAAGTTGCAGATTATGCACTGGAAATTGTTATAAAAGGAAAATGGGAATACTAGTTCATTTTCAATTATTTTTCTGAAGTCCTGAATTGTCATGAATATTATAAATAAAGCCAATAAGCCATTTATTGGATATCCTTTTTTTCCTCCTTTCATACATAGTTGAAAGTTTATTTTATATTTTTTTCTGCAAGCTGACTCTAAAAGTTCAGTCTTCCCCATAGCTGCAAGTTAAATTCCAAGAACTTCCCCATAAACAGCTTCTTAAAAAGAGGAAACAGATCTCTTTGACAGAGAAGTGGGTTTTCTGTGTGAAGCCTAAGGCAATAGCAGTTTATAACTAACTCTAGCATTTGGGATTTTATCTCGGAAACAGAAGACAGTACATCCTTCCTTATTTCAAACTCAATCTTCATTTAATAGCAGCAACAAGGAATACTGTGTTTATATAGGGAACAGTACAAAGAAGTCTCTAATTAGTTATATCCCATATATACCCTTTATTTAATTTCTTCTATGCTTTACATCAGGTTCATTTTTTTAAAAAAATGTTAATTTTAAAAAATTGCTTTGGTCAGTTAATCCTTCATGGAAGAAGTCATAGATTTATACAAAAGATATTTTATATACCCCGAGAACATATGCACCAAAGGCAAATTCCTTGTGTGTCCAATCACACTTGGCCAATAAAGAATTCTATTCTATTCTAAAAATAGTATCTCAGGAATACTAGTTTATCAACTACATTAAGTGCAAAATCCTTCAAGTAAGTGGATGGAAGTGAACAAAAAGTAAATTTCTTATTTTATATGTTGAAACAATTTCCCCCCTATAGTAGTCTTTTCTTGCTGTAGGGCTTCTTAAACTGGTCTTTAAATTTCAAATGCACAGATTTCTTTAATTTTATATTATGTCAAAATCTGCAAGTCAGAATACTTCCATCCTCTCTTCTTTCTCCTAGTAATGAAAAGATTTTTTTTAAAAAAAATTAGGAGCATGTGTATATCACCTGTACTTATGGTAACTACATCACTGATTCACTTATACTTACAACACTGTATACTTACAATAATACACTCAAGCATGAGTGTAGGAAACTAAGTAAAAAGACATTTCCATGGGTGACATAGCATTTACCCAGATAACTGTACTCTTAAGAGATCTTTCTGTGCCTTGGCAAATTATGACTATTTTGCCATGTAAGTAAAAGTGACTTGGAATTGAATAATCAGCAATGGGTTGTTGTTGTTTTTTGTTCCAGGCATTCTCCACAAAAATCTCTCAATATGTTATAAATTCTTCAAACCCTCATTTTAATGTTGAAATAGTTTTGGCAAATTAACGTTTAAGTTTAATGTTTAGTAACTGATACTTTTAATGTTATTATTTCTTAATTTAAGTGCATTGGACGTTTTAGAAGTGCACTGTGGACCTTTTAAACCAGTGGTCCCCAACCCCCGGTCCGCGGACCGGTGCCGGGCCGTGGAGTACCTGGCACCGGGCCGC